AGACTGGTATAGAAGGCCTGACTTGACCATTGGTGTTGAAAATGCGAATCTTGTTCTAATGCTGAGTGTAGAATATTTGCAAACTGGTTTCAGGTTGATGAAGGCGTGTCTCGCCTTTCTGATTCTAACAGGCTTTGACATCTTCATCCGTTTTGCTGCCTGTGGTTGAGAAGATGCTTCCTAAATAAGTGAAGGAAGTAACCTCTGTTAAATCTCTCCCGTTGATGGTGATAGGTGCAGGTGCTTAAATAGAATATTTCCTTAAACCTATAATAATGTCCAATTCATGACCTTTTCCACTTAAGAAGATACTTCCTTTGATATAGGAGAACTAATATGACTTCGGGGTGGGTGTTTTTGATCCCATCCCTAATGTGGCTATTCATTTTGTCATTGGCTGTGCAATTTTATATGGGACTGAGTACCTCCTGCAAGGTTATTTAGAGTGGGGATACTCTTGTTTTTGTCACTACTCAAATTATTCACGGGTTACATAACTGCTTTTCTTTCCAAAGTGTCCTAGTAATTTAAAACGCTATCACTATCCTGGCTGATAAGCAGAATTACTTAGGGTTCCGGTGATATATCAAAGCATGTACTCGTAAACTAGAACTTTCTTGCGTTCGAAAGCCCTTTATTTCGTCATTGCTTTTGCCTACTGAATATTTTGTAAGTAGTTAAACACAAAATAGTGATTCTTACTCTCATCAATGCTGATTTGTCAACTCATTTGATGAACAATTGGTATCGGTATTTACAATGAAGTCTTTCTAACTAATATGCAGATCAGTCGCAGATTGACTGTCCCTCTGACTTTCTGTGACTATCAAGTGATTTAAATGCATTATTTTTAAAAAAACAACCGTCTGCTACAACAAGGAATCGAGAAATGCGTCAATAAGTAATGATTTGATGGAACTATGAGCACTTGCACTAAAAAAGGAAATGCCGAGATGACTTCAGTTGTCATTGTTTCTTGTTTATTACTACTCATATTTCTTTAGTGTAGAAAATGAATAGGGACTGGTGAGTGCTTTTTGGCTTTTCCAAACTTATCCAGTTAACCTAATGTTAGTTCCTGAGTTATTACATTGCTTTCTTTATGCATGGATTCCAAAGGGTGACAACTTACAAGCTAGGTAATTATTATCAGGAAAGCCTTGTTTGCTGATGGAAGTTTGAAAGTTGAGATGTGGAGTCTTCCTAACTCTCCTCTACAGAGTAGACAGGCAACAAGGCTGACTTGCTTCCCCCCGAAGAAAACGCCTTAATACTGTTACATCCTTATTCGGCAATCTTAAGACTTTATCCTCAGTCCTCCAACCTATTGTGAGCAACTTAAACTATGGTGGTGAGCGCCCTTAGCAAAATCTCCATCCATACGACCTTTCTAGTATGGTAGAACTTTCGGCAGTATCTGTTCCAGCAAGTGTAGTTCATTAGTCAAGACATTGCATCATACAGGATCTACGGATATTTCAGGATATCAGCTATTGGTCGGTGCAGCGAATTGGACTTCATCATTCTTATTTAAATTTCTACTGTCATGATTCACTTCAGTTCACATACTCATCACTAGAATTAGCCATACACAGGAATTTCTATTATTTCTATTTCAAAAGTATTATTTACTTTAATTAACTGATAGGGAAATAATCCATTTCTATTCTTTAACTACTTATTCTATAGTATTATATAAGGCAATTCATTTTTCATTCTCCAATCTATTTCTTTCTCTGAGTGACTGTTTTACCCCACACAGAGATTTCTCAAGAGCCAATATATATAGTAGTAATATCAGTTAATTCTAATAATATAGTTCTTCACATAAAGCTTTCAATAAGTCGGTCGATTCAGAGATGTATCTTTCTTTTATGTCGTCTCTGAGCCCATTTCCTCTAATGCTTGGATGTAGTCTTATTATAATTGCGAATATATATAACTGTAGAATGTATTCACGTTTCTCATTGTATCCTAGAAAAGTATGTCATCTGACTTGTTCCTTTCTACACACCAGCTTTCCTAACTATTTTACAGATCATGAACTCTGTTGAGAGATGGTTTACTTTTGCTTAAAATTAATTCTGCATTGGCTTTATTTATTTTACACTAGTAAAGCTCTTCGTACTGCCTGTAGTACAATAAATGAATCCATACCTTTGCCTAAATTGTGTCTTCACTTGAGATTTTCCAGAAAGTATAGGTTGTTTGATAAAGTTTTTTGCCGTATAGCATGAATTTGAGTTCCTTCAAAATCTTTTTATCGGGGTGGATTAATGTTAACTGAGTACGCAATATAGTTCTACTGTTTACATTACTCGAGTAGATGTGTTAGTCGAATCGTATTTTTTTTTCTTAAATTCCACTTTTCGTTCTAGTCACCTTTGTAGTTTAATTAATGTTTATTTTAGTTGTTTTTGTAGTATCGGTTTTATGTGTTGTGTAATAGTGTCAATAAAATTAGGCATTGAAACTCAAAACATCTCTAAAACTGTTATTTACTGGTCGAGAATTTAATAGTCCTGACGCAAGAAAGACGGAAATCAGAAGACCACTAGGTTTGCGATGATACTTCTATTTTCCAAACACAAGGAGAATCAATATGTCACACAAGAGTGTGAGAGCGAAAATATAAGAATGTCCGAACAAGTGTGTGAGCGAATATTCAAAATGAACAAATCAATAGACAGTCTTAACATGATTGGCTAATTATAATGGAATATCGATCCATATATACATAGCAAAATATATCAGACTGTCAAACAAAACACACACATATTATATGGATACATGTCACCAAGAACAGACTGTCAAACAAACACACATATTATATGGATATATATCAAAAACAAGGAATAAAGGATAATAATATAGGATTAAATGAATTCATCGAATTTCGGTAGAACTCGTCAGCTGAATCTACCATGGTAATACGTTTTACTTATCATTCTACCTCTTGTTATTATTCTTGATTGATTTAAAACTATCCTTTTTCAGTACCATTATCTTAACTCACTTCAACATTATTATTATTATTCTAACTACTACCATTGATATTACTCTGTTTGCAATTCTTGTTATATTCTCTAATGACTAATTGTTTATCTAAGTGATGTAATTGAAGCTTAATGCAATTTATCCTAATTTTGATCTCTCATGCTCTCTCTCCCCTTATCTATTTGAATATGACCTGGAAAACATTTGCACCTGTCCTTCTGCATGACTTCTTCAATGTAGTTTGTTTTCTTATCCGTCTAATATATCTCCTCGGGACGGTAAAAATCGATGGTTGGAAACAATTGGTGACATGGCTCAAAACCGTTCTCAGTGGCTAACGCAGATGCATCCACTCCCTGTGACTTATGATCTTCAATGAAACTGTTTTGTATTTCTTTATTACTCCTTTGTCTCACACCTCTGCTCACTGTTTCTATTATGCTTTTCTTGTACTTTCTTCTCTTGCTTCGCGTGCTACACGGAATGTGGCGACTTGAACTTCCGCACATTTGTGAAAAGTTCTATGTCGAAAACAGACAGACAGACAATATATCTCCCAATGTAATTTCAAAAGTATATTTATCCGTGTCTGTAGAGTATTCAGCTGACGAGTTCTACCGAAATTTGATGAATCCATGATTAAATCCTGCTTTATTCACACCTTTCGTTGCTTGTTTTAAATTCGTATCGGGAAGTAAATGTTTTCAAAACATCTGTGATGTAAATATTCAAATATGATATGCTTGGTGTAATAAACTCAGTTGGGATGACAGGAGTTTTCTGTTGTATTAGTCAGTGGAGATAGGTTTAAGATACTTAGGCAAACGATTCTCCTTAATTATTATCTCTGGTATATGAAAACGACGTGTGCTTATGAGTGAATACAATGGTTGTTACTCCATTCCAGAGCTTATTGCTGACAAGTGATATAAAATCTGCATTTTACGCTTAATCTGTGAAGCACAACGCCTGTCTGTGCATTGAATCAATTGGTAATTTCTGTTCTGTGTTGTGTTGTTGTTGCTGTATTGTGTTGTTGTTGCTGTTTTGTGTTGTTTTTTTTTTACTGGTACTCATTGAATGATAAATTTAATTTCGATAAAGAAAGGAAGACGAAATTTGCAGTATAAAATGATATCATTCTATTTCACAGGTTCTTATCAGCTGCAGACTACCTGAAATTACAATGGTTATATAGATGATAATAACATACTTTAATGTTTGAGTGGTGGTAGAGAAGAGATACTATAAAATTGACGCATCCAAAATGTGAAAGCATTACAGTTTTTTAGTTTAAGTTTCCATCATCAATTTATACGCTTTTAAAGTTGAAAAGAGAGGGGAGGGGTAAGACAGAGAACAGAAAAATTGATTAGCAGAACAGTGTTAGCTTGTAGGTTCACATAGCAACTCAAAAAACAAAAGCGGTTACAGTTTATGAGATTAAGATTTGTTCAGTGAGTTGAGATCACTGAATTAGATGACTAATCAGAATCAAAATTCTGTTACCGAGGGAGTGAGAGGTTAATCACACTCTCTTTCTGTATGCATAAGTCTGGTTTAAGTTGTTTGATTGCGATCGCTTCGGCAAATCGTAGTAAATTTGCTGTCCTTTGTCTATTTAATATATTGAAGGACTTAGAAATCTCTACGAGATGTCCGGTATCGATAATGTGTCTGGTAATTGCACTCTGGGAATATCTGCTTCCTTTCAGGCACTGGTATACGGGAATAATGGTTAATTCGCATCTCATTTAACCGTCTATTTTGATTGGCGACTTCTTTTTTTGTCTCAGTTTCTATGTGAAGTAGTGATTTGGTTTATTCTCTGTGTGTGTGTGTGTGTGTGTAACTGTTTCTGTTCGCAAAGTTGCACTTATTTCAACGTTTTCTATAGTGTATTTTTTCACGTTTAACAATCATGTCAATAGAGGTATATAAGTATGCTACAAAATACTTATCTAATATTCTTTTTTTTGTTTTTTTTCTGTATGATTATACAGTCGGAAAATCTCGTGCTGTAGACGCATTATTCATTTTGACAGCTGATTTACGTCTAATCGAGTATGATTTATGTGTTAGTCCAGCTGATACAGCTACAGTAGGTGGAAAGTTGTACCAGGTAAGATAAAATTCGTTTTTTTATCGATATTAATGGCTAACTGATCTGCATTATGTTGTATCTCTCCCTCTCTCTCTCTCTTTCTCTCAGTATAAACTGAACATTTATAATGCCTTTTAGACTAAGCTCTTTCATTATTTGTCTGTAATCAAGTATTTTATACGGTGTTACTCGCGAAAGTATATATTACCTGTAAGCATTGCTATTTTGGATACTTTCATGCAATTCGGTGTCAGTAATATTCCTGTTTTCTATTACGCAATCTCCTACCTATAAAGTTCTGTTGGACATAATCCTCACTCATGCCACTAGTATGCAATACTTAACATATTTTTGGGCCCGAATATGATATTTTATTCGGTAATTGACAGGTTGTGTGATGGTGTCTACCTATTAATAATGGAGTTCTTATAAAGTGTATTATGCTGTATAATACCTTGTGGATAGTTATCATTCGTAGTGATGGCAACCAGTGATGTTCCTCGGAGAGATGTTCTTTGTACAATTCTTATTTGATTCCATTAGACATGTTCTGATGGTTGGATTTCAATTCGAATCGCCTTTCTATCTCTCTAAGGGCTGACAGATTATAACCTACATTTCTCATTCATTTAGAATATTCAGCGATAGGATGCTCACTAACCACTCAAGTGGTTCCGGGTTCGATCCCCGGCCACCGACGCACTCCTTTACCTTGCAAAACCAGTAACAAGACTGGTTAGTACGAAAGGTTGGGCATGAGGCCGGCAACACTGTCCCTTAAAAATGAACGCCACTGCTACCAAAACTTCAAGCCTGTAACTTGGAGCCCTATGGTTCATTAGGGGAACGCAAAGGAAGAAAAAAATAGTGCTTTTTAAGTGAAGATGCCAACAAAATGCTGAGTCTTCTGAGCAGTGGAAAGAAATGTCGCTCGACACTGTTTTGAAACAACTGACCAGCTTTAATGTCCCCTGTGTCTTATGGCGTACTTTTGTTTATTAACTGCTTCATTGATGATATGCAGTATTCTTTGCTTTTGTGTTATCTCACACCCAAGGAAACGCATACTTCCTGGGCCTTTCATTATTTCGAAGAATAATCTCTATGATGAATATCAGTCTGTCTTGTTTAAACTGAATACACACATATCTTAGTTTACAAAGAATATTGTTGTATAGGGCTTTCATTTTTTTCATATTTTTCTATAATACTTCGATTTCGCCCTTTGTGCATATTTCTAAGTTGATTATGCCGCCATATTTTCTTGAGTAGTATTGTCACTTTACAAGTTTGAAGAAAAATCGTTGTAGGGAGGTGTAAAACTGATTCAGTTATACGTTTATCATATACTCAAAGAAATTGTTTTGTTGGTATTACATAGTTGGAGGCAATCGGAAGGAAGCCTTGGACCTAGGATTCGTGCTAGTTGGCACTCACCAATTAGCAAGGCCTATCTGCAACCTTGAAGGAACTCATGTCCCTCCTGAGATTAGGACCCCCGTCACCCAGTCCTCTCTGCAGTCAGAGATGTTACCACTGAGCTATTCAGGCTCGCGATTGATCTCCTGTAGGAATGTATTGGATATTTTTTTTTGATTGCACACTAGTCAGCAACTAGTGTAATGTGTCTAGTCCTATCTTCACCGCAGACTGAATTCTATCAGTCAAGGTTGCAGATACGCCTTGCTGACTGGTGAGTGCCAACTAGCACGAAACCTAGGTCCAAGGCTACCTGCCGATTGCCTCCAACCATCTAATACCAACAATTCACAGTGCACCGTAATAGCGAGCCACCTAGCATGGTGCTCACATTGCAAAACTGACTGCTAGAATTCAGTCTGAACCAAAGATAGGACTAGACACATTACACTAGTTAGTGACTAGTGTCCAATCAAAAAAAAATTGTTTTGTCGATTTCTCAATGTATTGGATGAACGTTTCAAATGTATTGGATTTCATCTCAGTCTTTGTTACTTTGTTCCATGTTTTCTTTTTCAGGATGGTTCAATTCGCTTGGATTGTGTTGCTGTTGGAGAGTGGAATCTACACACAGATGCTGTTTACCTTCCACCATTTCCTAAACAACATCCGCTTATTTCAGCATCGTGTACACTACAAGCCCGGTGTAAAATGAATAAGTCAAGATATGATCACAGTCCTACTGCATCATCACGTAATGATGAATTTTTTTTTAACAAGGATTTATTTATTTATTTATTTTACTTAACAATTGTTTGCTTAATTAATGCCTAGATTTAACTGTATATTTCACTTAGTGCAGTTAACAATTACGTTTTCATTTCCCTTCCTGGTTGGTGTAAGTATCAACATAAACGATTAACATAATATTCAAATTATTAGAAGCCGTAGTCCCCACATGTGATGAAATAAATGGGGCGATCCAGAAGATTGAGCTATCTGTGACCCAAATCGAAGTATAACGGAAAACTTGATTATCAATAAAAATCAGTAGTTCTTCTACAAATCTCTATACCATGTGATGTGATGTATTTGCGCTATACATTTCGAACAATCTGATCAGACATTTACTTGTCAAGTCGATTTATATGAAAAAATAAGGAGTAATTAAATTACACAAAGTGACAAAAAAGACCTAAGAATAATTAACACAACGTTTGATAATCCAATCAAATAAGGATTACCAAGGCAGTTAAGAGTAACAATAAACTGTTTTTGAGCGCACAGGGAGGCGGGGGGGGGTTACACACGAAAATTGGTAAATAGTGTGGGTTGTGACATAATCACATGTGCACTTTTGAGGTTTGCAGTAGAAGTAATCCTTATTTGATTGGATTACCAAATTTTGTGTTAATCATTCTTAAATCCTTTTTTGTCATTTTGTTTAATTTAATTGGTCTTAATTTTTCCATGTATATCGACTTGACATGTAAATGTTTGATTAGATTGTTCGAAATGTCTAGCGCAAATACATGACATTTTTCAGATAATTACATCTTCTAATAAAATGAAAACAAAACACGTAGTTCAGCGAAGAGTCTCTTTTCAGCGAATTCATTTTCATAGCTGTACAATCGCAAATATATATGGTTGTTTTGTATGTGTGAGTCATGAATAACCTACCAAAGGCAATACGGTTTCGTCTTCTTTGTATCGCTGTAGCTCTGGTCATTCACATAGAAAAACTGGAGCTATGCATACAAAAAAGAATTACTCAACCACTTTTACTGTCATGGTAATAACTTTGTTGATTTTGATGACTTCATGTACTTTGTTTGCCTGTTCTTCAATTGCTTATAATTCTTGTATTCATTTAGAACTCTTACATAATTTCATATTCTCTTCTTTGTTCCTATGTGTATCCTGAGTAAAACTCAATCATCAAACTATTCATATTATTACATAACTTCTTTTCTAATAACTGTTTATGACAACTCATCACCTTTGTTACTACCCTAATTTCATTAACACGTAATTTTCTTGACTGATTTCGTATTACGTAACTCCAACAACCAATATTCACCTGTTTAGTTAAAATAACCATAACTAATTGTATTTTTGTTTGACAAACTTGATGTACACATACATACAAAACAATATATATATATATATATATTTGCGATTGTACAGCTAAGAAAATGAATTCACTGAAAAGAGACTCTCCGCCGAACTATGTGTTTTGTTTTCATTAATGCCTGGATGGGTATTATCCACGAATTAAAACGTAGCGAGGACCCCTCAAGAGTCAAGGAACTCAATGGGGTTTCTATGGTCTTCTAATAACACCATCCAAATTTATAAAAGGGACTAATTGTTTTAAATAATATTCAATATTTGTAAGGATTAGTTTTGGTTTTTTACGAGTTGATCATGGATTGATATCACTTAGAGAACCATTGAAAACCATGGAGTTACTGGACAGCCGTTTCATCCTATTTTGGGAATCATCAGCAATACGCGCACCGTCTAACTGATATCAATCCGTGGTCAAACTTGAAAAACATAATAATTTACTTATTTTGTCAAGTGTATAATTAATTTGTATGACTGAGAGAGATAACCAACGTCTTTCTTATCATTGATATTTTCTCTTTATTTTTGTCTTTTATTGACACATCCTCATCAATATAACCCGCTTTGAATTTAATCCACTTCAAGCTTTCAAAAGATTCGAAGCCTAGAGTGTTGTGTGGTGTCAGATGATGTCTGTCTGTTTTCTACATAGAACTTTGCACATATGTGCACCAGTTCAAGTCTCCACACTCCACTCCTTGTAGCACACAAAGCAACAGAAGAAAGTACAACAAATGCATAACAGAGACAGTAAGCAGAGGTGTGAGACAAAGGAAGAGCAATAACGAAGAACAATATAGTTTCATTGGAAATCATAAGTGACAAGGAGTGGATGCATCTGCACCAGCCATTGAGAACAATTTTGAGCCCTGTCACCAATTGTTTCAAGGCATTTGCTTTTACGTTCCGAGGACCTCAAACAGGAAGTCTACACCTTCCTACGTGGCTGGCCGGCTTAAACTAACTGTTGTAGATTTCATTGACTGGTGACATGTTTTGGTTTGACCACTTCTAGCTCTTCTCCAGCCTGACCCTATATCAGCTAACATTTCCTGTTGTCGAGGAAGGCGATGACTAGGCAGGCATGTGTGAGACACATGTCCTAACCATCTCAGTCTATGTAACTTCACAACCTCGTCGATTGATTTCCCCTCCTTACCTCGCACTCGACCGATGCCTAACCTCAATATTGCTCACCTTATTATACCACTTCACACACGGGAGATAGATCGCAGGCACCTATGTTCGAAGATAGCTAATCTTTTCATATCTTCCCCTCTCAATGGCCAGGTCTCACAGTTAGCCATAGAGGAGGACGGAGCGGACTGATGAGCAGTACAGCCGCCCTTTGGTCGATATCTAGAAATCACGGCGTCTGACATATGTGAAACTAGCCCTCTGTATCCGCACTGGGATTTCGTCAGATATCAACCCGTTGGGGCTGGTGTGGGATGATAAGCATCGGGAGGTACCAAATAAAAATTGTCATAATTCGTTTACGATCTGATCGTTAAGGATTGTCTTATTTCAACTGAAGAATAGTATGACGAAACCCAAACTAAGCTGTAGAATAGTTAGATTTGTACTTTTTCTAGAAAAACACTTATTGTGTTTTGTATTGACAATTCTTTTATATAAAAACTTTCATTTGGTTATCTTATTATAAAGAGTTACTTTTCCGACAAGCTGTACAGTTTTGTGTAAACGATTGATTTTTGTGCTCAAGTTATATAAATCAGTCAACTGCAAATACTTCTGTCATAGCGTTTTATGATAGCAGTTTTCTTAGTCACCTACAAGGAATAAAGTATTGGTGTTTGTTGTCGCTTGATGACAATAGTCATTTCAACTTATCTAAAGGAATGTGGTTCATTAAAGTTAGTCTAGAAGAATGATGCCTTATTGTAGTGTGTACTACTGATATGATTTGTCAGTAGTGTATACATCTGAAGAAAATTGTAGGGAGATAGATTTAATGTCAGAGGAAACAACTAATTCAGTGTAGTGGAGATACACAGGAGACGATGTCAATCGAACACAAAGAAACACAATATTGAAGAAAGGCGAGAAGTAGCACAACACGAACGATTACTGCAAATGGTGCGTTGAAGAAAAGGTGTACATAATTTCGCTAATATAGCTATACCAAATTCTAAATAAAACATTCCTCTAACCAAGTATTTCGTCTTCTACCGTTGTATCAGGATTATTTGCGTAATCAACACATAGACATTTATCAAGTTTTTATATCGTACAGTGACGATCAAGAAATAACACAACAACAAAAAGAGTAACAGATTTTCTGAATTTTTTTTGCTACATGTGTAAAATCGACTTTTCTTCGTCCTTTTTTTCTTCTCTTTTTATCGTTCTTTTTCACGTATTCCTAATAGTTAAGTTTTTAATGGTGTTTACTTGTTTCGCATTTAGCCTTAAAGGTGAAGGTCAAAATCATGTGAATGATGAGTCATATGTTATATTTAAGTTTTGTAACTTTCATAATTAGATGTACTTGTTTTCGAGAGAAGGAGATTTATTGTTCGGTAAATTAGTGACTACTACTTCAGGATATCATCTACTTATCTATTGTAAACAAAAATGAAGGGTAACGATAGAAAAATATTAAAGTCGTCCCGGGAAATATTTTGTTATTTTCGTCTTTTTATTGATTTTCGTTGTATTCCCATACAGTTGAAACGTTAGAAGACGAAAAACTTAGTAGAAGAATGTTTATTTGGAATTCGGTATCGCTATATTAGCGAAATTATGTAGACCTTATCTTCAACGCACCATTTGCACGCATCTTGTGTGTTGTGCTACTTCTACCGTCCCTTCATATTGTGTTTCTTTGTGTTCGATTCACGTGGTCTCCCGTGTATCTCCACTACGCTGAATCATTTGCGTTCTGTGAGATCAAATCATTCTCCCTGCTCCATTATGGATAAAATTTTATTTTGATAAAATCACACAGTCTCATACAGTAATATTTACTGATGAACACGTTTCGAGCACAAATTATTACTGCTCATAATCATATCAAGATACACAACTTTTTGCTTCATTTATACATACATGGGTAGAAACTGATTAGACATTTTAAATAAATATCAATATAAGATAAAGTACATTCGGAAATAATATTAGCGTCATCAATGAAATACAATCAGATGGGAAATAAAATGTTTTTATAGTAAAGATGATTAACTTGTTAGAATGTTATAATATGAATTGAATACATTTTAACATTACTTACTATCCTCTGATTTGACTAGTAATAACATCTTCCATATCTCTGGTATTTGCGTTGAGTCACTTCTATTGAATGTGTTGGGTGTAGATTCGATGAACCAGTATTCAGTAATCAATCTCTCTCTATCCACCTACCTATATTACTTCTTAGAATTTTCTCTCTACCCCACCCTATTGTGTGGTTGTGTGTTAATACATGGAGTGCAATTGCTGAGCTTTTTTCTAACCTTAGCTAAATTCGTATTTTCTGATAATTTCACTACTCCCGAACTACTAGTTCGACGTATGTAGTTGACCTAACTCACAGTCGTTGTAAGGTATTTTGTAAATTATATTATCTTGTTTAATTGGGTCAACCCAAAGGGTTTTTAGCCTACAAAGCTTGTCCTACCTGAGTGAGTTTGTAGGTTTAAATGCCTCCTTAATTCCTGCTTTATTGAGAATCCTACGTAGGGTCACAGATATCCCCTCATATATGAGTATCTTGATGTGATTATAAGCAAAAATGTGTGCTCGTAGTTCATCCGTAAATATTACTGTATAACACTGTGTGATTTTATTAAAATAAAATTTTATCCATGCTGGAGTTAAACTCTACAACACAGTGCCCAAGTTTTATCCTTTCTCCCTTCTATTTGATGCTTTTGTGTTGTTCAACGTCTCTTTATATAGTACTGATAAATCGTATCATTAACACACATAACACATTGAGTTTTGTTTCATTGTTATCCAGTTTCATCTTTATAAGCTATTTCAACTGTATTTGTATAACGAACTTATCTCTTTTAAGGATAATGAATTTTATTAATTTCATTTCGAAAGTGTAATAATTTAAATAAGCCAACTAAAATACCTGTTCTTCTAATCAGGGTAATTTTGATGAGTCCGCTCCGTCCTCCTCTATGGCTAACTGTGAGACCTGGCCATTGAGAGGGGAAGATATGAAAAGATTAGCTATCTTCGAACATAGGTGCCTGCGATCTATCTCCCGTGTGTGAAGTGGTATAATAAGGTGAGCAATATTGAGGTTAGGCATCGGTCGAGTGCGAGGTAAGGAGGGGAAATCAATCGACGAGGTTGTGAAGTTACATAGACTGAGATGGTTAGGACATGTGTCTCACACATGCCTGCCTAGTCATCGCCTTCCTCGACAACAGGAAATGTTAGCTGATATAGGGTCAGGCTGGAGAAGAGCTAGAGGTGGTCAAACCAAAACATGTCACCAGTCAATGAAATCTACAACAGTTAGTTTAAGCCGGCCAGCCACGTAGGAAGGTGTAGACTTCCTGTTTGAGGTCCTCGGAACGTAAAAGCAAATGCCTTGAAACAATTGGTGACAGGGCTCAAAATTGTTCTCAATGGCTGGTGCAGATGCATCCACTCCTTGTCACTTATGATTTCCAATGAAACTATATTGTTCTTCGTTATTGCTCTTCCTTTGTCTCACACCTCTGCTTACTGTCTCTGTTATGCATTTGTTGTACTTTCTTCTGTTGCTTTGTGTGCTACAAGGAGTGGAGTGTGGAGACTTGAACTGGTGCACATATGTGCAAAGTTCTATGTCGAAAACAGACAGACAGGTTTATTTTGATAGGCGCTGCTCTTCAACATATTTGAAGATTTATTGTACGCAATATTACAATGAAGTCGTAAACACTAAAGCAAGTTGATTCTATGCCCCCATTGATTTTCCGCCATGTTGTTATCTCTTCGTTTTCTGTAACCAACATTCTATATATTTGACATAAGCATAGAATTTGCGCACTATGATGACGGTGGTAGAGTTTAATTCTATCATACTGGAATAACTTTCATTCGCTCATAATTAAATCGATATCACAAAGTGCTCATAATATATAACTTGCAAATTTCGTTTATACAGCTCCACTATTCCTTATCCCCTATATATTATCAATAAAATCAAGAGATAAGAAATAGTGGAATTATATAAACGAAATTTAACTCTATGGGTGGTGGTGGTGAACTGTGCTCGAAATGTATTCACCAAATGATACTGTATCATCATCTTCTATAAAATAAAGTTATCCTTTTATTTTCTATAGTTTGGTTTGTAGGGGTTAACTTTGTTTTTTAAGAGTTGATAACGGATTGATATCAGTTAGGGAACTATTGAAAACCTGGGAGTTCTGCACAGCTGTTTCATCCTAACTTGGGCATCATCGCACTCACCACCACGGTTTAAACCCAGGACCTTCCGGTTACAAGACCAACCATCTCGTATACCATTTAGCCACGGGGACACAATTCAATGACCAGCTAAATAATAACACAGCACCTGAAGAATGCAGCAGCGGTACGTTGCCTCTTCACAACCACCCCTATTTTACTTTCGAGAAATAAGGATAAACTCCGTAAATTTGCCTCTTCTATGTGTATCTACCAGTTTGACTGCAGCTGCGGAGCCAGCTACATTGGGTGAACAATTAGGCAGGTTCATCATCGTATTTCCGAACATCATCCAACATGGTTAAACAAGGGACAAACAAGCTCCATTCGTAGCTCTATTTCAGCACACCTTGTAGATAGTGAGCATAAGGTTGATGTTAATACAGCATTTAAAATTATTTATCGCATTCCTACTAATCTTAATTTTGCTCTACGAGTTCGTCTTCTACATACCTACAGCTGAAGCAATAGGAATCCACCTGAAGAAGCCAAACCTGTGTGTTCAGCCACTTTCCTTGTCTTGGCCATCGTTACATGAATGTATAAACGGGACTACTTCGCCCCCCTCCCCCTAAACCTTTGAAACTTATAATTGTCCAAATTATTTTATTTTTTCTGACCACTTCATCTTTAATTACGTGTTATCCTTGTAAAATTAATTTATTCTAACCATATCTACCTTTTAAATGTGTGTTGATTTTCTTCGTTAATTATCAACCCATTGACATTTTTACACTGACTAATTATTGTTAACAAACATATCAGTGCCACTTGATTGGTAAACTGTTGTGTATTGTAATAAAAATGCCATACGTGTATATTAGAGTAGAGCCAGAGTGAGATGAGGATCTAATTGAAGAGTAAATATTTCTTCGCTCGCTCAATCTTTCTGTTTTCTAAATGTCTAAATGGGGATTTTTTCTATGTGTGTAATCAACATTTGTCACTAGGTTGCATTCCTTTCGTGTTACTAGTCATCATACAGCAAGTATGCTTCGTGTATTACCTAGATTTGACTATTGAAACTCTACTAGGTCACATCCAGATTGTAACTAGAGAATTATGTAAATTGTCTTATTGTACATTAATTCATATAAAACTGGGTAGAAGGATTTTGTCCCCTTACTTGCATCTCCTCCGTGTTTGTTTACCTTTTAACAGATGATCGGAGTGGAATTTCATCAGAACTTGTTAACAACAATACTTCATCTATGGCGCCATCACCATCAAAGTTAAGCTTGCCTCAGAATAATGATAGTAACAATTTGAAAGCTGCTGGCAGATTAGAAGTAGTTAAGACTGACAATACTGATAACGATAATAACAATAATAATACTAATAATGAAGATAAGGGTGATAATATTGTCACTCCAGCTGGATGGACTGCTGAAGATGTTGCTTCCTACTGGTACAGTCAAGTGGAAATCACTACTCACTTGGGTCCGTTACGTCGTGTTTGGATGGGTCCACAATTCACTTTTCGAAGCTATTCAAAACAAGTAAGTGATTTTCACTTTATTTAATAAAGTCTTGATTACGGCCTTAATGTTTTCTTTTTTTTTAATTATTGATATCATATGTTGTTATTTTTAGCAAAAAATCTGTACAGTCTACCACAATCGCCTATATCCATCAATAACAACAACAACAACAAAAATGAAGTTTTTGGTATGTACACACTGCCTAACATGACTAAAGTTCATATTTTCAAAGGAGCGCACAAATTTCTTCATAATTTGAGTAGTTCTTTTATGATCTGATATACTTTACAATAAGCATGGAATTTGATATTGCATTGTACATACTTTTTAAAGTTGTATTAATTAACTAGCCTTACTGATTACCACTGCATTCAAAAAAAGTATTTAAAAAAAAAAGTTAAACAAGCAGTTTAGAGTTTATTCAGACATGAGTTAGTATATATCAAACAGTCAAGCTGTGAATATAACTTAACTGTGTAACGTTTATCGTCACGAATCTAGTGGTTTTATAGTGTTAAAGTCTGTCAAATCTCCAGATTTCAGAGATCCTCGACCTATCTCTGGTTTTCGAAGACTAAACTTAATGCACAGAACACTATGCACTGTAATCAACACAGAACTTTATTTATTTAAACGCATAAAAACTTGGCACAATATGGCACCAAGAAGGATGCGCCACACAGTAATAATAAAACAACATAGATCAAAAGTAAAAAAAAATATAAGTAGAGAACGGATAAGGAACTTCATCTGGAAGGAAAACAGTCATGCTTAACAAGTTCAAACAGTATTCATTAACTATCATCGGAAAGGGAAGAAAGATGGAAATTGCAACACGTATTTGCCATTGATTACGATTCTTGGCCATATCCGATAACGTTTCGAGCCATCGATTTGAGCTATCTCTCGGACCTCAACCAGGGAGTCGTGACACACCAACCGATGCTAATCTAGCACAAATATCCTTCATCCCACAACGCCACGTCATCGACTGACCACCCCTCCGCCCTTTCCATCCCGTCCCAGGGCTAGCGAACAGACACCTGTACGGAAGCCTCTGGGATGACATTCGCAGCACATGTCCAAGCCACCAGAGCCGGTGTTTCCAGATGATGACACTCAATGAATGGTGATCTCCACTGTGTTCAAACACACACCTCCGAACCTCGGAATTACTCACGCGATGACGCCATCGGATGCAACACGGAACAACAGAAAACGGTTGGGCAACATGGTTGTTTATTCTTCAAGCGATAACGAAACAGATTTACAGTGCTCAGTCAGTTTCAAAGTCTGTAAATAGACGTTAATATAATGCACAACAATACTTCTGATCGTATTTCTCCGATCTTCTACTAACCAGTACATGATTTAGCAATGACGGCCTTCTTGTCTCCCGCCAATATAGACCAGTTCAAACAAACAAACTATTCAATTTTCACCAACATTAACAAAGTCTCTCTGACTTCTGTGATAATATACTTAATTTTGGATTATCAAGAGATCTTAACAAGCTTTACTCTTATTGATTTGCCACGTAGGATGCCGAAAGTCAAATAGTTTAAAGATCGAATAGGTCTAGGCACACATACAACTAGCAGCTATTGTGAATTATTAGCTTGTTTTTTGTTGTTGTTTTAAAGTTGATCCTGTAACACGATAAGCACTTCAGACTCAGACGCTAGGTCACAAGGTGAGATCTCGTTCTGTCATCACGTAAAGTGATACTTATTGTCTAGTAGACGTGATTATGCTTCTGTGAATCAAGGGACTAACACATGAGGAACGTCATATAATGAAAGTAAGTCAGTCACTGAAGTTATTCATCTTTAGTCATGCGGGCGTAAGATGCTTATGTTATTGGCGTCACTCAGGTTTCTTTTTATATTTTTGATGACAGCTTTATTCCACACCGTATTTTTGGCACAAGTATGGAATTTTCAGCATGGATATCGGTAGCTCAAATTTTGTAGGCCGACCATAGATATCAGGTGTGCGTCGGCAGGGGATCGAACTCCAGTTCATGTGCATGATCAGCGAGAGTTCTAACCACTGTGCAACCGGCGCACTAGGATAAGATATTTTGAAATTCCTAAAATTCTGACTCCTCACTTCTGTATTCTCGTGTCTAATTGTTAAAAATATCATTAATGAGAACAAAACACATAGTTCGGCGGAGAGTCTCTTTTCAGTGAATTCATTTTCTTAGCTGTACAATCGCAAATATATATATATATATATTGTTTTGTATGTATGTGTACATCAAGTTTGTCAAACAAAAATACAATTAGTTATGGTTATTTTAACTAAACAGGTGAATATTGGTTGTTGGAGTTACGTAATACGAAATCAGTCAAGAAAATTACGTGTTAATGAAATTAGGGTAGTAACAAAGGTGATGAGTTGTCATAAACAGTTATTAGAAAAGAAGTTATGTAATAATATGAATAGTTTGATGATTGAGTTTTACTCAGGATACACATAGGAACAAAGAAGAGAATATGAAATTATGTAAGAGTTCTAAATGAATACAAGAATTATAAGCAATTGAAGAACAGGCAAACAAAGTACATGAAGTCATCAAAAATCAACAAAGTCGTTACCATGACAGTAGAATAAATATAAATAAAATATCATTCTAATATTATTATACTACTGGGAAAATGTTGTATTTTTAAGCATTATTCTTCTTTGCTACGATCTTGTGTTTAGTAATTATGTGTTCGTCATTCTAGATATTAAAATTAAACATTGCTAAGGTCTTACGTGTGCGTCGTTTGCTCAGCAATACAATGCTGGCCAACCATACACGTGGTCCGCGGTTAGATTCCCGGCCGGCGCATACCGGTTATAATCCTGACAAAAAGAGAAGGTTGGGCGTAAGACCAGCAGCAGCCCCACCCAGTAAAAAAAGACACCACTGCTACTGAAACTTCAAAGCTTCAAGCGTATGAAGCCCAATGTCCCACTCGGAACTCAAAAGGAAAACAAAAGATCTTATGTACGGATACTTAAAGGTGTTTTGTAAACGTGGGGAACGGTTGTTTCTATGGTATTCAATATTATTCAATTGCTGTTCTTCATCTCTCTAAAATCAATTGGTTCCTTTGTTACAAGTATGAAGAGTAGTGAATATTACATTCTATCTCGTTATTGGCTAAATCTAGGAGATTGTTTTTTTTTCATTTATTCGTTTTTTCAAGCCGAAACCCATAGGACAGATGTTTATGTGTACACAAGGCCACAAATATTATTCATTATATGTGATTGGTTGGTTAGCGAAAAAATCGCTTAATGTGTTTAACAAGTTTTGTGTAATAATGTTGTTAGTGTATACAACTGTTTACTGATTATAATAATAAAGGTTTTTGTATTTCCCAATGAATGAAAACAAAACGATATTGTTTTTACTGACGTCTCGCTATTTAATGCTTCTGCTAATAGCTTTTTCAAAGTATTATTAAACCGGAATTTACAAAATCTCAGCATATATGTATATAACAAAGAGTTAAGAGGTGAGAAAATAGACTTAGGTCAAGTTAAAGGGACATATTGAAGGTCAAAATAACAATAAACATCACTAAACCAAATAACAAAGGTAATAGTACATCTGTTATGATATCAAAATAAGATTTACTAACTTGATCATCGTTCGTCTGTTTGTCAAGTCGGTGAATTGGTGAAGATAACAAAATCAAGTGTAGATTGTCGGATTTCATCAGTGTGTAAAATTATAAAAGTGGTGTGTGTTTGCATGGTGGACTTGCTTATCACATTCGTGTTGATTTTGTCACTTCATGGGGGAGGGAGGTATCGTAACCAGGTCAGATTCTGATTCCACTTGATATGAAGTGCCGGCTTCTGATATTAGACGTTCTTTGTGATTCCTGAAGTTTTTCTGGATTATTTCAACATTGTCAAAATCAATTTTGTGGCCTGATTCTATAGCGGGTAGACGAGCTGTTGATTTTTCAAGTTTTTCTAGTTCAACCGGATTTCTCATTGGTCGAAGAGGTGCTCTACGGTGTTCATTTCTTCTGATTTTGATTTCTCGAGATGTTTGTCCGATGTATATAGCATGGAATTCCAAGCATTTTATTTTATAGACACAATTAGATGGAGAATCTTTCGGGATTTGGTCTTTTATATGGACAAGGTTGCTTTGTAGTGTCTGATGTTTTGAAGAAAAATCTGATGCTGTGCCTATTGATGAACGATGGTTAAGTTGCTGTATATAAGCTGAGATTTTGTCAATTCTGGTCGAATCATACTCTGGTAAAGCTGTTGGCAGTAAATAGCAAAACAATATCGTTTTGTTTTTCATTCATTGGGAAATACAAAAGCTTTTATTATAATGAATATCATCATACCCAATGCCCAAATTTTTTTCAAACCGTTAAAAGTGAACTTGGTTTGGACATTTATAACTGTTTACTGATTTTGTATTATTTATTTCTCATCGGACAAATCTGTTAAAGAAAGTGAACAATTTAATAATAACTTGTGATCGTTTAATCATTCACATGCTGCTTATCTATGCATTAATGTGAAAAGCATATTATGTCTTGTGCGTGCATACATGCATATAGAAGGGAATTAGTAATAATTTGTCCTTACATATGTGTGTTATGGTTGTAGAGAATGGGTCTAGTCACTTGACCTTGACCTGATGAATTAAAATCAACATCCTTAGTCCACTGGCAATTAGTATGCTTGTGACAATAACGCTTCCTCGTTTGTGTATATATTTTTCTTAAAATAAACAAATTTATGCCTTACTAGTTAGTTGGTGGTGCAGTGTTCTGTCATACTCACTCATCACATTTTTTTAAACCAAGTTGTATACAGATAAATAAAGACGTCCAATTTAATTTGCCTTGCTACTCCTTACTTACTTAACAGAGGAGGAACAGTATGCACAGTGACACATAAAATGAAGTAAATTTATAGTCACACAAAAACCTATTATTCATTTGTTTCAGGTTAGATCACGGACTGAAATCAGTTAGAGAACCACT